AAATTAATTTTTATTTTATTTAATTTATTTTTAGAAATATTAAAAATTTAATTAAAACTTTTTTATTATATTTTTTTTTTTATAATTAAATTATTTAAACTTAAATAAATTAAGAATTTTTGCTAGCTTTAATTTTAGTAAATTACTTCTAATTTTTATAATTGTAACATAATATAAAAGTTTTTAACTAATTACATTATTTTCTTTTAAACAAGTTATTGATTTTTTAAGATATTTCATTATTTTAGTTTTTATCCACTTTTTAAAATATAAAATATATTTTTATCAATTTAAAATTTAATAAAATTATTTTAATCAGGACTTTTTTATTTTTTATTTTATTTTTTTTAAATTACTAAAATATTTCATTAAAATATTTTAACAACATATTATTCAATTATGTTTTATAAATAAATTTATATTTTTTTTATATAAATAAAATGAAAAATTGAAAATAAATTTATTATTTACTTATAAAGTATATATAAATATTTTATTTTAAAGCTTTTAATCATTAATTTTATTGTCATCAATAAATTCATAGCAATTTATTTATACATTTCTTAATTATTAACATTTTTACATATTAAGATTATAAAATATTATTTCTATCCACATAAGAAACTAATGTTTCATAAATAAAAAAAAAATTTATATAAATTATTAATATTAAAAATATTAAATATTATAAAAATATATTATTTAATTATAATTAAAATGATAAATCTAACATCTATTTTATATTTTTTATTATTTTTTAATTTTATTTTATTTTTTAATAAATAACTTTTAATTATTTATAATATATTAGATAGCTTTATACGTTAAATAACTTTTATGTTTATATTTATATTAAAAATTAATTAATTTAAAATATATCACTTTACTAAAATAATTTCTAACTCTAATTATCTATATATAAATATATATTTTAAATATTATATTTCTTGAAAATCGTATACATTTTTATATAACTTTTCTATTAAAAGATTGCACAAACTTATAATTTATTTAATTATTAATTTATATTATATATAAATATATATATAAGTATAGAGAAAATATATTGTACACGAAATATAAATAAATTATTTTAATTATATAATTTAAAAATAAATTATATTGAATATATTCTTTTTAATATTTCTCATTAAATTACGTTTATTGAATATAAAATAATTTATATTTATTAAATTATAATGTTTTTGATTCATAAATATTAATAATAACAATTATTCAGATGTGTTTTTTGTTTTTATATATAATAAAAATTATAATAAATAAAAAAGATATGTATATAAAAATAAATATATATATATATATATATATATATATATAAATATATATATAAATATATATATATTCTATTATATATAATTTTTTTATATATATAAAAAAAAATTTTTAATATTATATATGTATTATTTGAATATATTATTTTATTTATATTAAAATATTTTATATATTAATATATATATATATTTTATATATCTGTAATATAGTAAATAATAAAAAAAAGCATTAAATAAATTATAAGAAAAATTAAATGTTTTTTTAAAAAATAAAATTTAATAAAATATTATAGGAATACAATTAAATATTAATTTAAGTATATAAGTAATATATTTCTTTCTTTCTTTTTTCAAAAGCGACTGTTAATATTTTAAGGTCGAATCATCTAAACAGAATTTTAATAAATTTATTAAGGAGATTATTAGGTCATATTATATCCTAAATAAGCTTATTAATTTTAACCTTATTAAAATTATTATTATTACTATGGTTAGAAAGGTATTTATTACTGTCCTTATTATAAAAATCCTTAAGGTTATGAATTTTATATATCCTATTATGATGAAATAGGATTTATAGGCGGCATCATCTATTATTATTAATAAGGGTTTTGTTACTGTTATTACTAAAGTTCTATATAGTTGGCATTTTAATGAACTTAAGATTATAATTAACCTTAAAGTATAGTTTATTATTGATTTATATTCTATTTAATTTATTTTAGTTCATTAATTTATTCCTATTCTAAAGGATTAGGGATTACTATATTTTATTATTATTACTATTATTTTATTAAAATTTATTATTCTAAAGACGCAATTCTTAACTTTTTTTATTTTATTTTAAAATTAAATAAATATAAAATATATTTTATAAATATTATTTAAAAAACTTTATTTTATTCAATAAAATTGCTCAATTAATAAAATTCATATTAATTCTATAATACAAACTATATTTTTTAATAATATTATTGATTTTATGCTGTTAAAAATTAAATCTAATTTTACAAATCTTATATTCTAAAATTATTAATATTTTATAAATTATAAACTGGAAATATCCTATTATTATAATTTTACGCTTAAATCGGTCTATTATTATTTAATTATTAAGTCTAATAATATTATAATTGGTTTTATTGCAAAATGTTCTATTACATCAATACTTAATAATTGGTATTCATTGCTTAATTATAAATAAAATTATTTCTTCCAAAAATTTCTCCAGAAAAACCTTAAGTTAAACCTATAACTCTTCGCTAAGCATAGTTTTATAACTCTGTATAAGGATTTATATTAGCTTATTTTTGGTTTTATTTTTTTTCATTTTATTAAATTTATTCAATTTATTTTTGCCATTATTAAATTGCTTTAGAGGCAGTTATTGGGTTGGTTCTTTCATAATCCTTTAAAAAAAATATTTATATAAATATATATATATATATATATATATATATATATATTTATATATTATTTATTTTTTTGTATATATTAATTACTGTAATAAAATATTAATTAAAATCATTATATTTTTTTTAATCGTTTTAATTATAGTTCTTATCTTAAAATATAAATCCAAGTATACTTTAAAAAGGAATAAAGTAATTTATAGTAGCAATAATTACTGCCACTATACTAAATTTACTAATTTCATCAAAAAGGAACTTTTCAAATACTATATTTCCTACTGTGTAAATAACAATAATTAATTCTAAATAAAATTCTATCATACTATTGGAAATTCTATTAGAAGTAAAAGCCGGGATTACACAATATCTTAAAAGTGAATATTTTTCACACCAATATTATATAAAAATTATAATAATAATAGCAGGAATTATTGGTGGAATTATGTATGAATAAAACACTGTAAAAAACATAGTTTTAATTATCCTTGCATAATTTACTGCCAAATCGAAATTTACTCCATCATAAATAATATGTGCCTATACTTGTGTGATTTTTTAGTTATTTTTTAATTTATATCTTTTGTAAAGTTTCATTATATAGAAAGGATTTATTAAAATTAATATCGTTTATACTAAATTACTTAGGACAATATAAGATACGTCGGATGTTAAACCACCACTTATATATATTTTATTGTCATTTCCTATTTGATTTGTTACATATACAATTATTGTTGTGTTAAGAAATTAAGCTATTCCACTTTTTTATGCTACACTTATTAAATAATCACTCTATGTTTTATGTTTTTCAAAAAGTGCAAAGTTTTTTATAAGAATAGCTAAACATTAATTTATAAAAGTAATTAATACAGAAGAAATAAATCCTAAAAATTATAAATATAAATATATATATATATATATTTATATAATTATATATATAATTATTAACCTAATATTTAAATTGCATAAAAATTTGTGGATTTTTATGCGAGATAAACTTAAGCACTTGAAATACCGAATATCATTGCGAAACAAATTCCAAGTATTATTAAGGTTAAAATATTTGTTACTAGTTAATTTTTTAAAATTTAAAAATAGGGAACTGATAGATTTTCCCAAAAACTATAATAGATTTTTTTTAATATTTTTATATTTTTTTACATATCATTAGGTTCAGGTGCTCTTTCAACATTTAAATTTTAAAATTATATATTTTTTGAAATACCTAAAAAATTCAAAAACCTTTTGAAAGCATTTTTTTTATAAAATTTCAAAGCTTTAACTAAATCATGATTAGTCTAAAAAATTACAAATGCTGTCCCACATTATTAAAAATTACTATTTTGTTCATATTCATTTATTTATTTATCTAATTCATTAATTTATTATTCTAATTCTAAAGCTTAATCTTTTTTTCTTCCTAATTCTCACTTTTAATTTTTTGTTTTTTTTATTTAGTAAATAAATAAATGATATTACTATTTGAGTTTCTAATTATAAGCAATTTATTTTTTACTTTTTAAAATTATATATTAAGAAATATCGTAACCGAAAATAACTTTAACGACTTTACAATTAGAAGTATTTTAAATATAGTCTTAAAGTTCTTTTTCTGATATATTACTATCAATATTACTAAAAACGGCAGTAAAATCGGTCGGAGTAATATTATTTTCGTCTATATAATTATTTAAATTAATCATTTTTTTATTCAAAATAAAAGTAGATAAAATTAATAAAATAGTCGATACTAAATTCAAAATTGATTAAATATTATCTATTTTAAAATCTCTATTTGTAATACTAAGCATATTTAAAAAATTGCTCTAACAATCAAATTTTATTTCACATATTTTTCCTGTAATGTTTTTTACTAATCCATATATACATGAAACGAATAAAATTATTCCCAAAAAAAATAACAATATTAAGTAAAATAAAAATATAAAGGTATGCCACTTCCTAAAAATCCTAATTCTTAAATATCTATATTTATATCTAATTAATTAGTTTCCTATAAATATAAAAATATATAAATATAAATATATATATATAAATATATATATTTATTTTAATATAAGAAAAATTTAAATATATTAATATATAATAAAATATATTTTCTTTACTATTATACAACCACAACAAGGGCATATATCTTTATTTGGATCTATGTTTTTTATATCTTTTTTCTATCCTATTTTACGCGATTACTTTTTTTTATATATTTAATGAAATATAAAAAAATATTACCCCATGCCTTATTGCCATTTATAAATTGACAGGAATTTGGTTAGGAATATATTTATTTTCGTATTCTTCCATTTTTATTAATATAATATATATTTTAAAATAAAGTAAAATATTATAATTTTATATATATATATATATATATATA